ACACTATCGCTGCCACAGAGAAAGTTGTCGTTGGCCTAGACTACGGAACAACATTCACATCAGTTTCATACAGCATTGTTCCAATTGACAATGGTAATATGAAAGGCTCCGCCAATGATGTCATGAGTGTGATTAACTGGCCAGGCGATGGGGAGGACGGCGAAAGGAAGCAAGTTCCGACAGAAAGTTGGTACTCGCCAGATCCAATCGAGCGGCATCAGAATGATGACGATGAGATATTTGATGAAAATTTATTCGATTTGTCCCAAGGGCAACACCCCTTGGTACTCAGTGGAACGAAGGAAGACACCGTCAATGATCCCGAGGACTCGGAAATGGAAGATGAGCTTTCCGTCGACTTTCTTTGGGGATATGGCGTGCCATATCAAATGTACAAGGCGAACTCAACACGAAGTCAGAGACGTCTTGTGAAAAGAGCCAAACTGATGTTAGTGGAAACGGAGTACACCAATGAGGATCGAAAGGGACTCAGAGGCACATTTACTGGTCTTCTCAAAGAAGGCATCATACGCAGACATGGGAAGCGATCCAAAACTGAGCCTGATATGTGGGATGCAGTTGACCCGATATCGGATTATCTTGTGAAAGTTTTGCAACACACGAAAGAGCAACTAAAACTCCATGGATTCACTGATAAGACGCCTGTGGATTTCGTCATGACTGTGCCGACCGTTTGGTCTCCAGAAGCGTCGCGGGTACTTCAGGCTTCTGTCAAAGCAGCCATTCAAGCGACTACCTTTGGAAAGCCTGGCGGTACTACTGCGGATAATGTTTTCCTTATCTCTGAGCCGGAGGCTGCCGCCACATTTCTCTTGGAAAGTTCAGAGGATATATCTGTGAGTTCATTCTGTCAATGCACTCAAGTCTTTAACTGACAATCGTGTGGCTTGGCGAAACGTTTATAATTGCCGACTGCGGTGGTGGCACGGTCGATGTCGTCACGTACGGAGTTAGCAACCGCTATCCTCTACGTTTGAAGGGAGAAAAGATTCAACCCATTGGTAAGTTCAGACACTTCTTCAGACGATTCCGTAAAGCTGACATGTACACCCAGGAGACAACTGCGGATCTAGCTATCTTAACGATCGCTACAAAGATATGTTGCTCAATCGACTTCAGGATGAGAATTACCTTCTCAAGAATGGTGAAACACTTGAAGCAATTGTTAATCGATTGATCCCGGACTTTGAAAATGAATACAAGAGACGGGTGAACGTCATGAAGCGGATTGGTCATAGGGTGTATATTGCAGGTTTACGCAGTGACGAACAGATGAATCGTGTTGGTCCAGCGGAAAAGCGTTTCGAGACAAACAATTTGCTTATGAATAAGTAAATGTGTTTATTTTCCGGTTTATAAGAGTCCTTCGCTAATATCTTTTCAGGAGTGATTATGAAGATATATTCAGGCCCCTCCTAAAGCGAATCTCTGCATTGCTGGAAAACCAGATTGAACAAGCTTTGTCAAAAAAACTTGTGGTCAAGGTATGCGCTGACACTTAACCATTCAATACCTTGCTGAGTATTTAAAGAAGGTGTTTCTTGTCGGTGGCTTTGGTGGTTCGCCTTCGTTGAGGAGTTATCTCAAGCAATGGCTTCAAGAAAAATCCCAGCAAGTTAATTTCAACATCGAATTGGTAGCAGATAGGCACAAATGGTGAGATTAGCACAGTATCATTCTTATTTACCTAGTAAACTCACGAGTCTGAAGCATTACAGCTGTGGCATCCGGTGCCGTTCTTCGTGCTCTCGATAAGAAAAATGGACCAGAAAGAATATCTCAATCAAGTTACGGCTTCCTCCGCCATGAGCCATGGCAACCTGAAATTTATCCTGGGCATGAAAGAGCCAAACCTGAAGAAAGTGAATTGGAAGGAGAGAAATATGTGGCCACGATTGATTATTTTATGATCAAGGTAATACCCTGACAGGAACGTAACGCCCTCTGCCCATGCTAACACTCGGTAGGGCAACCCAATTCGTCCAGATCATCAATTTCCACCATTTCCTACCTATCACACATTTGCAATTGACGAAAAGCAATTCCTCTGTGAAGAACTACTTTACGTTTCCGATACCGCTACAGAATCCCACTATAGCCGCAGGAATATCAGGAATTCTGGTGAGTGACCATACCTTCCCGCTTGTATCACGCCATCCTAATATCATACTAACACAACACTAGATGCACAAATAGCCGGCCGCATCATCGTAGACATGACATTTCTCCGCGACAAAGGTATCATCAAGCCTGTGTATCCAGAAGAGGGTAACAATGGGATGAAACATTATAGGGTGGAATATGAACTGGTGGCGATAGTCGAGGGGAGAGCTCTCAGATATGAGGCGAGGTATCCAGCTGGAGAGGATGGAAGAGTCTTGGGCGAGGGACAATTCAGTATTGCGGCGGCTTTTAAGGAGGGAACTGCTTAATTCGATCTCATTTTCGAGCTGGGGCTTGGGGATTTGCGGATAGTGTTACTCTATTCCTATCGTACTTTTATCCTTCAAACATATATTAACTGATATATAAACTTAATTAAGATTGTAATATAGTTTTACAATCATTTAGCCTCCTTGTACCTTCATCTATGTCCCTTCATCTCGCTCCGAGTCCTCTGTCTCTTGCTTCGCTGCCTCTGCATCTCACTCCTTAGCGGAGAGAAAAGAGTCTTCAGAAGAGGAGCATGCAGACGAGGCAGAAGTGGGGTGGGGCGGTGCTGGAGAAGGAAGGCGTTTAGTAGAGGAACTTTCTGGAGAAATAGAAGCAGAGGAAAGAGGGGCAGTGAAGAAAGTAGGAGAGGTAGAGTTAGAAGGGGTGGAGGAAGAGAAAGGGAGAGCGGAGCGGGTTGCCTCGTCAGCCTCATCAGAAGTAGAAGCTACGCGACAGGATGCTTCATCCCCTGTACTATTTGACTCTTCTATCTTCGATTTAAATCTGTTATTCTCACACGCGAAGATTCGACGCTGAAGTTCAGCACTTTCGAGCAGCAATCTGCAATTCTCCGATGACATCGCTCTAGCCTTTTCCTTCTCCTTCTCGAGTTCCTTCTCCAAATACTCGATCCGAGCCCTCAATTTTTGGGCATCTCTTCTTTGCACCCCTACCTCTTTTCTATGTACAGGCAACTCTCTTTTCTGCATCTCCCGAAGCGAGGATGGAAGGGGTGATGCGGAGGTAGTTGTGGATCTTGGGATTGAAGTAGTGACAGATGTGGATGAGACATCGGGAGCATCGTTTAACGACCGAGGAACAGAGAGACGAGTTGAAGTGCCGAAATCGTTGGAGTTGATGATGTCATAGTCGGAGTCGGAGTGGTGGGACGCATTGTCGTCGCCGGCATCGGTAGGGTCGTCGTTGAGAGGAATATCATAAAAGGTTTCAGAGTTCTCCATCTTGGCGGATTCTCGAAAACCGGATTTGTTTGTGGAGGGGGAGGGGGGATGGGAGTACGATCACAAGTTCCGATGGGAGTAACGAGTAAGTGTGGAAGTACGAAGTCTGGATGATAAGCAGGAAATATAAGCAATGAAGGAGATGATAGTAAAAGTATAAGTGAAAGAATTGTAGAATAAATTATTGTAGCTATCAACTTTAAAGCGAAAAGGATCTGACAAGTATAAATAGATAAATTTTGGACCAGCCAAGCTGTATTGATAGTTAGAAACAAGAAGAAACCAAGGGGAAAGAAGAGAGCGAAGTAAAAAAAATTGGGAGGAAGATGCAAGGTTTAAATATCTACGATGGGTATGAGGTAAAGCTATAATAGTCTGTAATGGGGCACTATCAGATTTGGACATCATGACTCGGACTATCATTCAATAAAACTCATGATTATCTAGGAATACTAGTTAGATACTAATGAGTTTGTTTCGTGTCCAAACCACAAAATGATCATCCCAAGCTTCCTTAAGAAAGCGCGAAGGCTACCAAAGAAGTAGTCTAGCGCCGGTAATGTTGCCGAGTAGACCTGACATACTAAGATCTATTTGTACGGCAGTCCATCATGAGTCTCTGAACCATCATTTTCTTCTAGCTCCCGCACATTAATCGAAAGTTTTTTATACTTTCTGCTCTCATTGGAGAGTTATAAATTGATAGTACAACAATAAGAGGCGACAATAGTCCGAACAACGGTCCGACAATGAAAAGCGATTTATTCTTGAATCTATTTCATGTACTCGGCTTGTTTAGTACAATGAAAGGGTTTAGAACATTGAACTTCGATGATAGGATTATTCGATTTGGCATATCAAATTCATTTGAAACATTGGACCAATCCCTTCAAATCATTTTGCTATCCGAAGATTCACAACTTTTCAAGAATTGGACGCATCTAGACAACAGTCAAATACTGTTGGAACCTTGTTCCTAAAATGCGGGGAGCGCCAGTACTTCCCACTACTTCGGACTACGGGGGCGACTTGAGTCATTTGCCAGTGGTTTAGAGACGATAGCTCTAACGTGGTTAGGATTTAATCCCTCGACGGATTGTACTTCGAATTCGACAAGATTGAATTTTTAGGCGTTGGATTTGTTGTATGTCTAATCCCAAATTATAATATATCAGACTGGCGATTTCCAGTGATTTTTGGTGTTGTGGAACTCGAAGAATAGTTGGAACAGTGAAGGTTTGTTCTAAGATGAATGCTTGACTTGTGCTTATAGACACACAGCGTGAGTATATATCAAGCGTCGAAAGCCTTTGAAATTGCATCTCGCTGGATCGTATTGGATATTCGATACTGGTCCTGTTTATATACGTATAAGTGAGGAAGAATTGTATATAAATATTCAGTTGATGTCGGTGCCAAGTAAAATCCGATACCTTTGTCCGATGATCCGCTTCTGATCCCCACATTCCATCCACAAAAAGTAGCTTAAGTCCAATCATATACAGCAACGTCAAAGATTAGTATATATTCTTAAGTAAGTCTCTACTAACATCAAAACAAGCAAACATCTAGTTTCGATACTAAGCTTCTGTGGTCCAATGGTTAGGATTCCACCCTTCCACAACCGTCAACTGGTTGCAAGCAAGGTGGAGGTTCGTGTTCGATTCACGGCAGTTGCATAATCTTTTGCATCCTCTTATATTTTTATATCATTGGGGTTGATTGATTAATCATGCATTTTTTATTTTGATCGAGGAGGTTCGATTTTGCGGCTGGTGGTTGACGACTTTTAAGCGACAGGGGGGGGTTCGACTCAAGTCCGGCCAACTCCGGGTCATTTCTCTCGTACAGTTCATACAGTTCATACAGTTCATACAGTTCATACAGTTCATACAGTTCATACAGTTCATACAGTTCATACAGTTTCAAAATCGATATCTCTTGTGGCTTTCTAATATACTCTTTAACTCTGACTATTAGCTGCCTTTAATTATCGGGAAAAGGTTCGAAAGATTTTCTTCTTCTATTGCTTTTGCGAGTGGTGGGGTTCGGCCAAGCTTTTCAGTTGAGTGGAGTATCTACCTACTTAGTGGAGTAAAGGAGGTAGCCACACGGTTTGTGGCTAGTGAATATCAGCTTGAGATCATTTTATCATTGGTTTTGAGAACCGGAACCATTTCGACAATAATAATAATAATATGAGCTTGCAGTAATAAGACCAGATCTTTAACTCCTCAGGACATCTCGTCTCCTCGAATCCGAGATGGTTCCAGTCTCATCTACCTTTTAAACAAAAGCCCAAAGGAGCCACACCATGAGATATAGGTAATTAAACAAGGATTCAAGCATACAACGACGGTCTAGATGTAATCTCCCGTCTAGCCAGCTTTCGGGACAGTAATCCAGTCTGCATAGCTGTTAAAGCAAGCCTTAGGACAGGACTCGATGGTGGGGGAAACGAATGAGACGGACGTATTCGTCTTCATCCCCATGGTGAACCCGATAATTTCAAGTTCAATATGGCCATGTGGGTAAGATAAAATAAATAGATATATAATCAATCATAAAGCTTCAACTACCAAAATATCGTATCGCTAACTGTTCTTGTATCTTGAGATAACATCTCTCAAACAATTATGTTGCTGTAATATCTCTACAATGTTTTATCATTAATCAAGTTCATCTTGAGGCTTGTGATGAATATTCATCCAAGTGGATTCTACTAGTCTTCTATATATTGATAGAACGTTTACATCACTGTTCGTTCGTTTTACTCATAGTATTCATATGAAGAGCATTGGATATGATCGTTTCTTTTAGCATTATTGCAGTTTCCAAGCATTTGTTTAGTATTCTTTTTGAATGACAGGGGGGAATTAGGGATGGTTATGGTTTGATGTTTAGGTTATTGTATTGATGGTTTAGCATAAGTTTTATGGATGGGAGAAGTGGATGGAAAATCCACGAGATATTTAGTCTTGTTCTTCATTAAATCTACGGTACGTTGCCCTTCATTTCCTTCCGCATCCCCATCTCTTCCCCAACCCAATCTAATCTAGGCCCCGGCCTCTAACCCCCTCAACGCCTCCGTAACAATTCCCACCACCTCCAGCACCTTTTCATCCTCCAGCCTCCTCCCCACACACTGCAATGCCACCGGCGTCCCATGATAAAACTCCTCATCATAATCCGCCTGCAACTTCTCATCTTTCTCATTCAACGGCTTCCAATCCGTTCCCCTCTTTGCATCCAGCCCCTTATCCGCAAACGTCACCGGGAAGGTGCACGCCGGATAATCCAAAAGATTCCACACCCCTGTAAAATTCACACAGAAAACATCTGTCTGCGTGACCCCCAACCTGGGCGCCGTCCATGGACTTGCAGGCATGATAATTGCGTCCATGACCCTTTTTCCCGGTTCCTCCCCGGTGCGCGTCCATCGATCCAGATACTCTTTCTGGTACGCATTTCTCCGCGTGATCATCTCTCTCAACTTCGTCGGTCCCAATGTTTCATGTTCCCCCTGGTCGTAGGAAAATTCATACGCCTTCATGCTTTCAAACACCGGCTCGTCGTGTTTGCGCGTCAATTCGAGAATGGCGGCGCCACCGAGAGTGTAGAAGGAATTATTCATCTCCCGTGCCATTTCGGGATGGTTGAGGGGTTCCCATTCGAAGACCTCATGGCCAGCTGCTTCTAGCGCTCGCTTTGTAAGTGCGAGACCTCGGGCAATGGGTGGGTGAACGCTAATCTCGCCGTCGTTGTCGGAAATCATACCGATGCGGAGTTTGCGGCCTGGGGGCTGGATTGTGTTTTCTCGCCAGGGGACGGGGAGACATTTGGGGTCGTATAGCCAGGGTGAAAGTTCGGGGGAGAGAACGGCTTTGCTGTATACTTGGAGGGTAGAAAGGGATTTGGACATTGGGCCATTGTTTGAGTAGATGAAATCTTGTCCTGAGATACCGGATTTGGTGCCATAGATGGGAAATCTGCCGAAACTATTGGTGTTTTGTCAATATTGCACAATGCTGATAGAGGACGTATGGACGTACGAAGGTTTCAATCCAAAGAGTCCATTAAAAGCACTCGGAATCCTGATACTTCCTCCAATATCCGTTCCAATTCCCAAGGGACTACCACTCATAGCCAAAAGCACACCTTCACCCCCCGAACTTCCTCCCGAAGTCGTACCTGTATGATATGCACCATTAGTTTCGCCCCACACATTGGAAATTGTCTCCATCATCATCATCGCAACAGGTACTGCAGTCTTGACATAGAAAACAGCTCCCAGTTTGGCCAGTAAAGACACTAGAACCGTTTCCTCTTCTTGTTTGCTGGGGACATTGGCATAACATGCCATTCCGATAGAAGAAGGATGGGGTGGTGTTATGAAGCAGTCTTTGAGAGAGATTGGAAGACCATGGAGTGGACCTATTACGTTTCCGGTTTTGGAGAGATAATCATCGAGAAATTCTGCTCGTTTGAGAGCTTCCGGAATGAGAATTTCTGTTAGACAGTTTGTCTGTAATGTTGATTAGCAGTGAATTCTTGTTTCTAGAGCTACGAGAGAACAGACCAATTGATGAGCGACAACAGCAGCTTTAGAAAATGCCTTGGTAACTTCTACCGATGTCCATACCCCCTCTCTAATTTTTTGAAGTATATCTTCCGCATTTGTTTCAATGACTTCTAATTCTTCGTAGGTGAAATGTCCAGATGATCTTGGAACATTAGTAACGTTTCGAGGAAGATTCTTTAAAGCTTCCTCGGGAAGAAGATATTCTTTGGGCAAAGCATCAGTTCGACGTTTCTGAGCAATTGTGGCTATTTCCTTGTAGTGCTGATCCGTTAATATGTGTTGAGATTCGCCCATTGTTGTGGAAAATGGGAGGGGATAGTTGGTGATTCTAACTAGGTAGATATTAATGTATTTAAGAGTGTAAACAACGGAGAAGAAAAGTTAAAGGAAGTTGTTTAGTGAACGAAGGTACTGAATTGTAGAAGTGAATTATATTTCACATCTTAATTGCATCTCTTATCTCACCCAGGTTGCGGGTAGTTTTGAGATACTGTACCCCGCCGGCGCTCGACAGTGGGGTTTCCCGATCTCGGCAAAAAGTCCCAGCCACTGATATCATCTACAACACCAGAATAATCGAAGGACAAAGGAGCACACAATTCTTATTCATAAAATGGCTCTGAATTATACGTTGAGAATTTAGTATATCAAGTAGTGCCAGCCAATGTTAATGTTAAGTCAACATGATTCCTGCAAGATATAGAATATCCTAACCAGTAAACGCCACCGCACGCTTCGAAGTAATTCCCGCAGCCTTAGTATTCACATTCAAAACCCCCACATTTGATATCAGAAGATTAACATCTGTATCGCTCGCTGCTGTTCCTGATGTCACAAGTGCTATTTGCTGGCCAGCAGTTTCGCATGCATGGGTCGTGACTTTATTTGTTACGCTGTACTGGCGTTAGCATCGTGTTTTTGGTAATTTCTTCGGAACCGATCGGGAAAGATGACGAGAAGCCGCAAACTTACAAGGCAATAGCCCCTGCACTTCCAGTTCCGTCACTAAGGTTGGCCTTGGAAGCTGTATTGTTCGCTCGACCAGCATTCGTGCATGCGGTGATTGCTGCGGTTTCGGCAGCGGTTAATTTAGCAGCGTTTGCACCACCAATGCCTAGTTTAGAGATGGCAACCATGGCATCGGCGGGTATGGTGAGAGAGGATGGGGCTGACACCCCAGCGAGAACGGTAGCGACATTCGTGGTGCTGAGGACGGAAGCAGATGCTGCGCCGAGGAAGGCAAGAAAGAGGGTAGCTGATGTCTTCATAGCTGTAGAATTTATGAAAGTATATGGAATAACCGTATGGAATCTAATGAGTAAATAAGAGAGAAAATTGCTGGGTATCAAGATTTACAAGTTTGAATTGAAAAGAAAAGGATCGGCCAGCGCTCATAAAAAGAATGAAGAAATGAAAGTTTGAAGATATCGTAGAAATCATCCCAACTTATAAGGATGGATACAATGTAACATCAGACGACAGGGTGGTTGTTATTACCAGTGAAACGAGGATGGCCTTCGCCTAATGATACACCCGTGGTCTCTTATTTATCTCAAGCGAAGGGGTTGTCATTCAACTTCGTCTGATCTTCACGATGGTGAGGATAATCATGAAGTGAAACCGATTGATTTTTTACCCTCAGGGTAAATTCTCAAATGTGGGATGTAAAATGAACATTGTCTCCTCTCTGGATGTACCTTCGACAATGTAACATTGAGGAATAATGATACTAACCACAAATGAATCACATGTTAAAACGTATGCTGTGCACAATGCAGTCAAGTCAAGTGATAAATTTCTAAAATTGAAAGCTATTGAAGTCTCAAATCTCAACCTTGTGAGATACATTTGGACCTTGGCAGAATATGCGCAAGATGACTGATTTGTTTCCATCATCTAAATCTACATTCCTTTGAGAAAAGCGGAGGTAGGAGTTATATTGAGGAAGTAAAGATTTGATCTGCCATCATCTATAGGCGTTGAACCCAGGGTGTAGTAGGGAAAAACGTATATGCTCAAATGGGGTGCACGGAGACACGTATTCACATGTATTCATAAAGAAAAAGAGGTCGAATAATTCATTTCGCAGCAACTCCA